CAAAGCAAGCACGGGTTATACCTAGCAACAATCTCCCACCCCTGCCGGCCGGACACTACACCGAAAACAAGACCCTTCGTCACCATGAAGAGAGTGTGGCTGGCTAAGGCAGGGGTGCGATTCGTCATGGACGGACGCTCCTCGACTGTGGCTAACAGCAAGCTAGAGCCCCCCCCCCTCCCCCCTCCTCCCGGAACTACAAAAACCTCGCGTACCTTAGGCCAAGCACTTCCAAGATGTCTGCGGTGAGCGTCCGTTTCTCTCTATGCAGCGCTTCCAGCTCCCGTTTCACTTCGGCCTGCCGTTAAAACAACACATTAACCACAAAAAAAGTTCGGGTTGGTGCGGTGCACGTGTTTGCAGAACCGGGAGAGCCAAGACACACGCCGAAAGAGCCAAGAGAGCGAGGGAAACAAGAGGAAAAATAAACCAAGTCAAGGAGAAACGGGCGCGGAGACAGGGAGGGATAAATAAAATCGTGTGCGGCGGCCGTGTAGCACTCGCCTCGTCTTGGAAACACACCAAGGCCTCAACACTATTTACTATTCTCCAGTAATAAAATAAATATCTTGAGACCCTTTTGAAGGTGCGCGGGGGCGGGAGATTCTTTGTGGGACGTGTGGGGAAGCAAGCGATCATCAAGCTAGACCGCCCTTGGCAGACGAGGCCTTACGTCAGGAGATCGCTCTCGCACCCGGAGAGGGGCGAACGGCAAACATAACCGAGCATGCATGCGGACCACTCCCAAGAGGATGGCAGACAGGCACGGAAATTGGTCAAGGCAAGCAGGCAGGCAGGTGTTGCTTTTTTTTTCTGCGTGGAGGCGGGTGTGGGAAGACTTCACGCTCTCTCGAATGTTGCACCATCATCGGGGGGGGGTGGCGAGGGCTTGCCTCTTAGAGACCCAGTCTACTGTAGAGCAGCACCGTAGTTTGTCCCTCCCGGCAAGTTCGTGTGAGCAGCAAAAGCAAGATCGTGTACTTTCTTGCCAACGGTAGAGCCTAGCGCGTCAACACCAGACCAGACGTTTGACACCAAAAAAGAAGAATTACCAGCGATTACATTGTTGTCTAGTAGTCGGCAACCGCAAAACACACACACACACACGTAAACGAGAGAGAGAACAGACTTACAATTGTAGCGTTTGATGCGATCCCATGCTGAGGCAACGAAAGCTGGGTGTTCGGGGAGGGTCGGGCGAGGCACGCGCCACAGCAAGAAACCGGTTACAAATACAATCTAATCCGCCGGTGTTCGAACATGCGAAAAGAACACGAACAAAAAATGATCCTCACGATTGTTCACATTTTTGGTATCGTACACACAAGGTACAAGTTCCTTCGGTTCCGCACAGACGGCGAGCAGGACACAGGAGGCGGCGAGCGGTTTCAATGGGGTGGCCTGTCTCTCTCTCTCTCTCTCTCACCACAATAACTTCAAAGCTCCTGCTGCATGAACAGATAGGTACTGCTGTGCTGTTCTTGCGAGCAGGTAGGTAACGCTGTAGGTCCAAGGATTCACTGCTGTCGGAACGCGGTCCATGAGCGAGCCTGAAGAAGGCGACGCCGGTGAGGGTTGAAGTTTGCTGCAGTTCCTATTGGTGTCGTACGCTCAGACCCGAAAAGCAGATAGATGCAGCGTTACAGTACGCGGCTGGCAATGGTTGTTACCAATCCGATCTACATACCCGTGTCTCTCGAGAGCTATGTACACAACAACAGCAACACATATTGTACGCTGAATCTGAAACATAAGCCGCATGCATGAATCTTCACGGCCACCAACCAACACTGCACACAGGAGCTTGCCTCGTCATGAATCCAGCCCATGTCGTTCAACGCCAACGCTGGGACACCGAGGGTCTGCTTGTTGTAGCTGAAGCACAAGAAAAGTGCACTCTGGGTTGTTCCCAGATCGCTGGTCACCGTTGGTAGAATGGTACCATAACACACCCTGTGTGGGTGGCACTGCTTCTGTGTTCGATGTGTTCCGATATTGGATTGGGTTTGGAGCAGGTTTGGAGATGCGGGGAGCTCATCACAACAAGGACGAACGACGAGACTCTTCGTCGTTGTATGAAAGGTAGATTTTCGGAGAGCGCAACCTCTCGTGGCAGATACGCGCAAGTAATCTAGCCGGTGACGTACCGAAAAAATCGGATCTTTACCCTCCTTTTTTTTCCGTTTCCTCTTCTTCTTTTCTGCATGAAACTCTTCGCGAGACGAGAAGTAGAACAACGACCGGCAAGCCGCCACGCGCGCCTCTTCTTTGGAGTGTGCCACAACACCAACACCAACACCACCAAGATCACCCTGGCTGAAGCTCGTGGAACGCTTATGTCGTGCGGTCAGGAATGTGCCGCGCGTGACTAACAACGTACACACAGCAGTAGCACACACACACACACACGAGAGGTGACCAATGCGATGAGACACGATGATGTCAAAAAAGAAACTTGGAAATTCTGTGTTTTGGTGCGGTTCTACGAAAATATGCATAGGGATGTTGTTGTGTGTGTGCAACATTTTTTCTGGTTGTACTGCTGGTGGGGGGATACCATCAACGCTGCCCGCCAACCACCACGTGTTCTGTGAACCGAGACTCCAGCAGCGGCAGCAGTACGGTGGTAGAAGTTGCCGACTTTTGTCACGGCTCTGCCGTGCATGCGCTCACCATTTGGGAAGAAAACGACGGCCGGACCCTTCTTGCTTGTAGTATTGTATTGGTTGTGGCTTGGGAGACGGGGAATCGGGAATATGATTGTGGTGTATAGATTCGTTATAAAAACAGCTGGTGGAGATTTGTGGAGATTAAAAATTGCGTTCTTGATACTGTTCCGAAAGAAGAGCAAGTCTCACAGTCCCCCTGAAACACAAAGGGTACAGGAGAGCACTTTTTTTTTTTCGACGGTAAACGACTTCATTCAGTGGTGTTCGCAACCGTGGGGGCCCTTCCTCTCTGCTGTGCACAACCGGGGCTGATGGGGAGGGTACATTGCAGGTAGGGTAGGAAATGCGGTGTTATTCCAGGGCGGCTAAGCACGTGGGTCTCGCTTTTTTGTCCACGGGCCAGCGCCGACACAAAGTAGAAGTGCAACAATATAACCCGAGAGGGGACGAAGAATACATGGAAACAGGGGCAGATTTCAGATTTATATAAAAAACATCGCATCAGTATCGATCGCTTCTTGTGTGCTGCCTTTTATGGCCTTTCGAAACGAAATCACGGGTGCTGCCTGCTCCAAAATGCTACTGTTGTCGTCGCATGACGTATCTATGTACATGTTGGTGAGAGACGGCAACAGGGTAAGAGAGAGACAGAGAGGGACAACGGAGAGAAAGACGCAAGGCATCCGGGTTGCACACAAAATGCGGTGTGTGAGTCCTCCTCGGCAAACGATAAGCGATTGCCCACAGCAGTGTTGACACGTTGCAGCGTTTTTTTCGTGCCGCGGTTGATTGATCTGATGTCGGCAACCAACCCCAAACAGAATGCACCGACAACGCGGAGTAGGAACGAAAGCGCACACCAGGAGGTACACGGCAGGGAGGTGCGTACGAAGGAGAGTACGACAGGGTTTCTCCATGCCGTGCAATGGTCAGCTGCCGACACTTGCACTTGCAGTGTGCGCACATCGCTGCTTGCCGTTGCCTCTCATTGTTGCCAACCCCCCACCCCCAGCAAACTACGCAAAGCGCGATGGTCGAGAGGGGGCAAGGGCAACAAGCAAGTCACACACAGACGGACTCTTGAACGGCGGTCCACCACCACCGCCTTTTCTTTTGCATCCGGGCGGTGCCCACCGGCTCTCTCTCTGTCGCCGTCTAAAATGTTGCTGCTGTGTTGCAACACGCACAACTCTTCTACATACAGAAGAAGTCGCAGCATCGCACCAGGCGCAGGAAGGAGCTGCAATACAAACAGCAGGACAAAGACGCACACGCAACAAAAAAAAAACAAGGCTCTCACGGGTCCACCGTCCAGCGAGTGCTGCTCTCCCACCTGGGTAGCAGGATCTGCCGAGGAGGCCCCCCCGCCTGCTGCCGCTTCCGTGTCTGCTCTGGAGCTAGCCTCTGCGATCCGCTGGGTGACCTGCCGCAATCTCTCTCTCATCTACCTACCTTGCAGCCCGAGAACGCGCGCAGGAGGCGCGGTTCAAGGTTCAAACGGAGTTGGAGAGTGGCGGCGCGTTCGAGCCGGAGAGAGAAGGGGCGACCAACAAAAACAATATGTTTGTCCATGCACCTGCGCTCGGCAGCCCGCGCGGCCTGCAGACCAACCTAAAACGGCCGCTCCTGCTGCAGACCTGGCACCCCTCTCCCACGCAGACAGATATACGTCTGCAGTATCCATCGCCGATATTTACACATGAAGATGAAATTTGTATGCGCACCAGTACACACCATGTAGCCCCTACACGCCGCCAGCAATACCATGCACCCGACTCACTACAGGTGTCTCCGGGCGGAATTCAACCCCGCGGACTCAACGGGCCGGTGTCGGGGCTCCTTCTAGGTGTTGGCGCGACTGCCAGTGAGTCTTGCTGGCCAGTACCTGGTGCTGCGAGGGCCACACCTGTAAATTGTCATGCTGGCACTTATCTTCCGGAGGAACTTTTATCTATCTGAACACTCAAAACCATTTCCTCAGGGAACCTGTACACGTTTTGTCTGTCTCCGCTCGCTCACACACACCCAACCTTCGAACTTCGACTGCATAGACAAGGTGCCTGTGATTTCCAGCCCAAACGACACAACAACCAACCCACAACGACAGCGCGGTCACAAGCACCGCCCACGAGGCGCATCTCTCCCCACACGGCGTGGAAAAAAAGCCTTGTTGGCGGGAAAAAAGAAAGGGCTTCGTGCACAACCAGCAGCCTCGAAAACAAATCCCGAGATGCTTCTTTTTGTTCGCAGATTTGTGAATGCTGCCGCACAGGGGCAGGCAGTCGGAAAAAGCAAGCAACCCCAAACCACGGGTAATAACCCAACCTCCACCAACATTCAAGGAACAAACCATTGGAGCGGCGTGGTGTGCCTGGATCCTCAGCCACACATTCGCGCCAGATTTAATCAGTGATTTTATAGTTTCAATGGACAGACCCTTCCCGCAACACCAGCAAGAAGTCACATCTCCAAACAACTTAATAATTTCGCAGTATTTCTCTGCATGTCTCCGTTACAATATAATGCCGAAAATTAAACCAAAATTAAGTTCGAAATGGGTTTGTTCGTCTCCATTATTAGCATCGCATCATCCGCAACTTCATGATCGATTACTACGTACCCCTCATCATGCATAGTAGGTATAATACATATTTTTCGTCTGTAGCTTCTTGTACTCCTCCGCCGCGTGTGTCGTTGACTGGTCTAGACTATGTACAACTTACATGCACGTGTAGGGTACACAGACAAGGGCCCGTAGTGCCCGCTGAACCCTGTGTATATTTAGTAGTGTCGACGCCCGGTGTACATATAATACATTGTAGTGCCGGACCGGAGTGCCGGTGTCTGGCGGGCACATCAGTACTTTGAATCTTTGAATAGCGTGCCGCTACTGAGGCTCACTGTGTAACTTGTTGTAAGTAAATAGTCACACTGAGACCATGCGACGTTGGACGGGGTTGGTCTTGATCCGTAGAAAATAGCTTGGACCCCACTCGAAAACCACAAGCGTTGATTGTAGAGTGCTGTGACGGGCAACAGGCCGCGCGCGGCGGTTTCCTCAAGGAAGGGTTGTTGAAGGCGGCGGGTACTTCTTCGAGCCATGCCGCGGAGATTAGGAAGAGATTCGAATGTCACTGCACAAAATACTCGATCAAGTAAACTCACCAAGGGTATGCACGCACATGATGAACATATTGTACAACAGCAATGAGTTATCCCACCTCCCATACGTACTACCTTGCACCTATGCCAAACATTTGGCACTTACTTGAAGTTACACGGTGGCCAAAGGAGGTTGTAACTGGTGCCCAAGTGCCCAACCTCCCCGGAGGTCAGGTTGCACGCCGACGTATGTATGCAGCTAGCACCGCATCACGGATTGCGACGTTAGTCCAACCAATAGGGCGGACTGGCAGCGTAGACTACATGTTGTCCAAGGTCGATCCCCAACGTCCCAACCTGACCCCCGAGGAGGCTGGGCACCAGTTATAACCTCCTTTGGCCACCAGTGTAGTACTACTGCTGTCACCCTTATTGCAAGTAGAAAATATGACATACATACGTGATGATCGGCTCATGACACGACTATGAAACGAGCATGCGCCTGGCTGGATAGACTGTACATACTATTGCTTTTGCTGTAATCTATGCACTGTATAGATAGGCTACCTACTCATGACCCGGTGACTCACTGGTGACCCGATCATCAAGACAAAAAACACCATGCCTCGGTCATTGCCCTCCATCACTCACTACAGATAGATCTCAGATGGAAACGCCTGCACGCTACTTCATCCTCCACATTACGTCAAACTTAAAACCTGGGTGCACCCGTAACGAAACCTACTACTAATACAGTATAGCGGGCACTTGAAGCCCACACTGGAGGAATTCAGGAACTCCAGCCTTGGCCAAAACTCTAGATAGTCTTCGGTCATTATTACGTCTGCCTGTGTTCGGCCAGTCCACAAAAACACCTGTATGTTCTGTATGTATGCAGCGTCGCAATATAATACACACCCGATCCTTCCCCCCGGTGTTTGCCATCGGGGTAGGGATTTCGTCGCTTGGCAATACGAGTGTAAAACTAGCCGATCACTTCGTGAGCTCGGCAACCTGAGTTGCCGCTTTGTTTTATTTTTGCGGTAACCATAATGACTGGTGGTCGCGTAGATCATGTTGTACGGGTTCGAGAACCCTCACTCCGTGCAAAAGGGGATAGACTATAGTCTCACCACGTTGTGTTGAACGGTCATCAAGCACCCTCGAGGCAATTACACAGTGCGTATAGCTGTCTCTGGGAGTGAAAGTACCAGAAAACAATAAGTCATTCGCAGCTGTCATCCGTACACAAGGAAGTAAGCACAAGATGCGGCGAGCACCGTTAGCAGGATACAGCGCACCGTTCATGCGACTCGCCGAATACCTCACGGCTCTTCGCGCTGGTGATGTGAGAGCCTGGTCCGGTGAGAACCCGGCGTGCTCCGTCCCGGCTTTGTAGGGATGCTAATAGGTCAACGGTCTGACGACTACGGCATGCACGATTATGAGTACACCACTCCACCGCCTACTACACCACCTACAGCTGGCCTCCTCCCTGGTGTGCACCACGAAGCGTGTTGTCGTGTAGTCTAGACTCGCAGCTCACCCTCCTCCCCCTGATCGACTCCAAAAGTACGGCGAATTTTCTTTTCGTGTGTCCAGGGTGAGAGGAAAAAAGGAACCGCCGGTTGGTTGTTGTGAAGTCCTTCCTTTTCGCATGCAGTTTTTTACTGCCCGTATCATCTGCCTTGTCAGATTCTTCCTTGAAGTGCCTCTTCCTGTTGAAGTTGCAGAGGAGGGCGCGGCTGTGTTGTGACGGCACTGTTGAGTCTTATCATCGTTCGTTGCTGTGGCTCGAGCTCGTTTGTTTGGCTGTCCGCTCTTTTTTCTGCGGTCTGTAACGAACGCGTTTCGTTCGTCCCTGAAAAGGATGGACCCGACACCAAACCAACAAACATTCGCGTACAGGAGTAGAACGCATCTCCCAGAAAAGCACACATCTCGGCTCAACCGTGTGAATGAATTGCAAGGAAGTTTTTTGTGCCTGCCTCTACATTATATGTAGTAGACTCACAGCGTGTCCTGTACAACGTCAGGCATTTTTCGACGCTGTATCTTCTTTTTCGATCACGGTACGATACACTGCACATTGTTTGGTCAAACAAAAGTGCCCTCACTCGCGCAGCATGCCTGCATTTTGCCAGTTCTTCGCGATGCCTGCGAGCGGCACCCTCATCATCTGGCGGTTTTAAAATCGGGAATTATCGTATGGTGTAAGGAACGACGCCTAGAGAAAATGTCAAGACGAAAAATAAATAAATCATCCCATGTTACCCTCTGTTGGCTTTCACCGAGAAACGCACGCCATGACCACACACATCAAATCACCTTCAAAAGAGAAACATGTGCATTGTACCCCCACAAATGCACGACATGACCGCACACATCAAAACATCTACAGAGAACATGTGCATCTTTCCCCAAACCCCGCCCGCTTTTCAGATAAAAACACGCTCCAAAGAACACCCGTGTGAGTTCTGACTCATGTTGGGGGTAAAAACGTGAAAAATTACGTAGCAAGTTGAATTGAACGCTTTCCACAGTGAGCACGGCAGCGTTGACGCTGAAGCCATCTGGCTTTCCTTGCCAAACAACCCTACATGTCAGCTGTCTTAACACAGCTGTGCAGCACTTCCCAATCAGGGAAGACCGCAACACCATGAACGAAGCAAGACAAACGTGAAAGAAAGCACCCCCCCCACACACACACTTCAAAACGAAAAAATGTCGGAACCCCTCTCCAACACGCGAATGTCGTATACTAAATAGCAGACTGCAGTGAGTACATAAAAAAAGAGCGTGTTTTCAGCATGCACAACGTGCGCCTGCGCAGTATATCCAGCTCGCAACTATCACATTATCTCAAGAGCGAGCCCATTCCTCGCCCTACAATTTTTTTTGTCTGTGCGCAGTGCCTCTCCTTCACGTATAGACCTTTCACGGACAAAGTAAGGACAAAGGTCCCCTACCGTACATACCAGCAACACACTATTTGTCCGTGGCACACCACTTCTGGCAAAGCCTACCCATCTCCTGAGAAAAACCCTAGCGGTGACTACTATTATACCTCAGACCCACAACACGACCAGACCTGGGAACGCGAGCAGGGCAATGATTCGACAAAAAAACAACCAATCCACGAATTAGAAGGCACTCGATCAAATTACCCCCCCCCCCCCCCCCCCGCCTTTCG